GTTGTTTGTTTTTTGTTTTTTTGCATGCTGCCTTTAAGAAAAAAGTAGATTAAAAACTCTTTCTTAAATGTAAGCATCAGAAGAATTATGATAGTGTGATCATTTGTGAGGAGGAAGATGTTTCCAGACAACTTGAATGTAGATAAAATACGGCTTTTATGAATCTGCACGGATATTTTATCATCCCAGTTCTTTTCCTTGGTATCTCTTTTGAGTAATTAGATGTTGTTATTAGGTGCCCATCAGGCTGGCTCCAAGTTGTAGTGATTCTATGCATAACAGAACAAAACGTTGCCCAGTAACTAGATAGATACTTGAGTCCACATCTGAGTAAAGTATTATGTTATTGAGGGCTAGAAAAAAATGATTAAAGAAATGCAACAAACATTGTTTGTGCTTAAAGATTCAGACATAAAGGTTGAACAAACAATACAGTAATTCTCTACTACATGTTGTCTTTTCTAGCTAAAATGTAGCATTGATGATAACAAAGAATGGTTCACCAGTAGGAATCTGCTAACATATTTGATTCTTTTGACAGATGGCCAGAGGCTATTTCTCCAGAGTTAATAATTTCTAATATAAATCCCTCAATGATATCCTCCAAAGAAATATGCCAAAGTGATAAAGTCTTCAAGCCAATCCTTAGTAACTCCTTTGTTGACTAACATTTCCCTATAAATCTCTCAATGACTTAAAACAAAAGAACACTGTAACAATCTTACAAACAATTTTACTTCTCTAGAATTCTCAAAATAAAATTTTTAATAACATTTATGTCTTCAGTAGGCATCTGTTCCCTGAATTATTTGCTTATTAATGCTATTTCAAGGATTGTGACATTAATTTTTATCATAATTTTGAGGAAATAGGTTGCTGCTTAATCTAACAATTGTATCAGTCCACTGGAAACATCTGGATTTTACAATGGTGAAATCTGATTTTTCTTTTCTATAGCTTTTTGGAGCTGAGAAATCACCTAACTGAACACTTTCATTTTATCTGTAAGAAAACTGAGTCCCAGAGAGTAAATGACGCTCATGTAGATAATTAACAGCACAGCTGGGGCTAGAACTCAAGTTTCCTCACCCTGTCCAGTTGAGTACTTGTTGAGTGAAGTAATCCCAGAACTGTGTCATTTTCCTATGACAGTTTTGCTACATGATGCAAATGTCACATCAATTTTAAGTAGTCTATAATTTCAGTCATATACTTTGCATAAGCTCAATGGTTTTTCCGTTTAGCTCACATTTAAAGATGATAAAAATGTTTGTGTATATAAAATATGCTTCCTATAAGGCATGCAAATATCCATAAACTTGCCAATGTCCCTGGCATATTATATATAAATAAGTAAGTACTCATCTCTCATATAAGTTTGGCTAAAATTGGCAAAAGAGGCTGGTAGAGTGAAAATTGAAACAGAGATAAAACTCAAGAAACCATGTTTTGTGGTGAATAAGAAAGGAATACTCATATTTTAAGGTAAGAAAACAATTTTTGAAGATGGATATGGAAGCCTTAGGAAGCTATCCCTAAACAACATGTTATTTTTTTCTCTTATAACGCCACATATGGGATTAAAACAGAAAAAAAAAAATCAGTAAATGTATGGCATGGTAATATACTCAGCTCACACAAATATTAACATAAATAGACAAAAAACATCGTCTAGTTTTGTTTTCAGCCACTCCTTGGAAGGAAGGTTGGGCAATCCTACTTCCGTAGTGATACTGCCTCGGAAACCCAAGGAGGGGTCGCTATGAGTCGGGGCCGACTCGACGGCAAATAACAACAACAACAGTTTTGTTTTTTTCAAATGATGGTCTTTTAATGTCATGATATACCTTTGTTAATTATATTTAGAAAGACGATGCTCCTTTGGAGTTTCTATTACATAAATAAATCATCTGAACCTTATTTCCACTATTTACTCATCACTGCTATATGTAAAACTTCCTGCCTATCTGCTTAGCACTCAAAAGATGGATATTAAAAGAGTACTTCAATTGCAATGAAAAGAGTTTATTTCTATTTTAATTCTTTCTCTAATGACATCATGAATATGCTTCAGCTTTACATAATTGTATGTATTTTTAAACTTCATGGTAATTCATTACACAACCACCTAATGTCCATACCATTGTTTCCTTTTGATAAAGGACTATACTCAGTCCGAGGAGATTGTGACATGTCTATTCTTTTGCTAAATATGTTTCAGATTCTTCCCATGGAATTTCCAAAGGAACAAAGCAGATTGAAAATACCATTCAAGATAGTTGAATGCTTAGCTATTTTCCCAACAAACTGACAGTTTTTGTTATACTTTTTGCAGGATCCAACTGGAATATTCTCACTGGATAAAACCATTGGCCTTGGTACTTATGGCAGAATCTATTTGGTAAGTGGAGGTAGTTTATTCATCCTTCATTTTCTAATAGCAACAATAATTCTGAGTCAAAATCCCAAAATGCAAGTCAAATAATGTAAAATACAATATCTCACCTTGAGAGAGGAATCAAATTAAGATATCTCAATGGCAGAAACCCAAAGACGGGTCGCTGTGAGTCAGATTTGACTCGATGGCAGTGAGTTTGTTTTTTGTTTGATTGTTTTAATGACATGTGTAAGAATTATTGTTTATTATTATAAAGGGAATGGATTGTCAAATCTGTAGTGAACCAAGCAACTGCACATGTTGTTGTTGTTGTTGTTATGTGCCGTGGAGTCGGACCAACTCATAGCGACCCCTCCTTGGGTTTCCGAGGCATTATCACTATGGAAGTAGATTGCCCAACCTTCCTTCTGAGAACAACTACACATAGGATCTAAAATTTGCTAGCAGAAAGAGAATAAGATAAAATTACCAATTGAAAAAAGTAACAAATTCAAATAAGATGCACCCAAATGAAACTATCACTTGCTTTATGTTGTGTATCCATATCATTCTAATTACCCACATTCAACTTTTAAACTGAATATTAAAAGTGGGAAGTTTCCAATACATTCTATTTCATGCTGTGTGCATTGGGTATACATGTGTGAGAGAGAGTTTCTGAAGGATCTAACAAAAATTTTATGCATTTATTTAATGATTATTTATTAAGCACCAAGTATGATGCAGTAGTCAAAACATTCAGCTGCTAACCAAAAGTCAGCAGTTCGAACCCACCAGCTGCTCCTCAGGAGAAAGAGGAGAGAGTCTGCTTCTGGAAAGATTTACAGCCTTGGCAACCCTATGGGAAAGTTCTACTCTGTCCTATAGTGTTGCTATGAGTCTGAATCAACTCAATGGCCGTGGGTTTGGTTTGGTTTGTGGATGTGCCAGGCACTGTGATAGTCTCTGGGGATAAATTGATGAACAAAAGAGACAACCAGCTCTTCTGGGGCTTATAGTCTAGCAATGAGTAAGTGATTAAGTATGTGTATGCCTGGAGGGTGGTGTGAGGCAAGGAAAGCACATATATTACATAAATAATCACACAAATAATTGTGTATTGACAAGAGTAATATATGCTCTGTAAGAAAATTCCAAGTTAGATGCCAGTGTAGAACAGGGGGAGTTCATTTAGGTATATGTTGAAGGGTCAGTGTTGGCCTCCCGGAGGTAATGACATTGAAACTGATACCATGAGGATAAATGTGAGTTGACCAAGATGTGTAGGATAATATTAGTGCCTCTAGGTACTCCTCGGAAGGAAGGTTGGGCAATCCTACTTCTGTAGTGATACCACCTCAGAAGCCCAAGGAAGGGTTGCTATGATTCAGGGCCGACTCGAGGGCACATAACAACAACAACAACAACAGGTAGAGGCAGTAACAGTGTTAGGGGTTAACTGTGGCAGGGCTGGGGGGACGATTTAGTAGCCTGGTCATTTTGATCAGGTTCTCTCCCCGCACAATCTAATACGAGAGGTTGCCATTGTCTCAATCTCAGGTTTTTAAAGACGTAGTGCTCCCCTTCCCAGGCCTGTTCCTCAAAAACCGGGCCACTGTTCCTCGGCCAATCCATGTTCTAGACTGACCATAGGTCTTCTACTTGTGAGTTATGTAGAGGTGTCCTGATAAACGCCTAGAGGAAGGAGATTCGTTGTAACTCAGACAAGGTGCCTTTTGCTTGCTGAACTTTGCACCCTGTGGGCTACATCTGCCCAGAATGAGCTTTTCTTCTAATTCATCTATCCAGGTTTGGGGCATAAGCTTTTAAAAATGTACACGAATACACCTTATATTATAGAAGCTATGAATGATCGACCGTTCCATGATACATGGAATGGTCCTAAAGGCAGAGAGAACCTTAATGAGTATAAAGAATAGAGAGAATACCAGTATGCGTGGCAAAATTTTTTCAAAACCGTTTTGAATTTACCTGTCTATGGCACCAAGCTATAGAAAGTGATATGATACAGATGCAAATATTGTATGTGTTATATTGTATGTTGTATGTGCTACTTCAGTTGTATCACAGACTGAGTGATTAGTTTACATTTGTGTGATCTGAGTCAGTTGTGCCATCTTATATAAACCCAAACCAAACTCATTGCCATCGAGTCAATTCTGACCCACAGTGACTCTCTTTGGGTTTCTGAGGTGGTAAATCTTTACAGAAGTAGATTGCCCCATCTTCCTTCTGCAGTATGGCTGGTGGGTTTGAACCACCAACCTTCTGGTTGGCAGTTAAATGCCTTAAGTACCACGCCACCAGCACTCCTTTATATGTAAATATCTATACATAAACAGGAAAAAAACAAACAAACAAAAAACCTCCTCCTCTTTATGTCACATTTATAACAGTCATGGCTTTCTGTGTATTTTAACTCTTGATGGGGTGTGTGTGTGTGCTTGTATATTTATTATGAGAAGAACTCCACCATCAGATTTTAGAAATAAAAACCTTGGTGTCACATAAAGTAAAGGCAAAGGTAAGCTTAGGGAACACAGGAAGATGATTTCTCATCATCAGCTATCAGAGCTGTGTTACCGTTAAAAAAAGAAGAAGAAGAAGAAGAAAAATCAAGAAGATAAAAAAGGTAAGTTGTACATGACAATTCCCTTTAAAAGAAAAAAAAAAGAACTCTCAGGTGTTTTGAGGTATAATATGTATCTGGGAAAGTTCACCTCTTTAAGTGTACAATTCTTTGAGTTTGGACAAATATAATGCAGTCTTGTAACTACTGCCGCAATCAAGATTTTCAATATGTATCAATATATATCTTAAATTAACTATGGTTAAAGTGCGGGGCTTCTGACCCAAAGGTCAGTGGTTCGAACACACCAGTGGCTCTATGGGAGAAAAGACCTGGCTATCTGCTTCTGGGATCACAGCCTAGGAAACCCTATAGGGCAGCCCTATTCTGTCAAGTAGGTCGCTAGGAGTCATAATCAACTTGACGACACACAACAATAACAGCCTTCAAATAACATTTTATCACTTCACTGGATGATGTAAGACTATATTCCCAATTCTTTCCTCTGACCTTGTGTGCTATGGTTATCGTTGTCATATATTTCACTTTTACATATGCTTTAAACCCCACAATGCCACTACTCTGTCCCCTATACTCACTTCTACTATTTTTTTAGTTCAATCAATTATCTTTTAGAGCAAGTAAAAATAAGAAAATATTTATATATATTTATCTTCACTTTAGCCATTTATAGGAGCCATGGTGGTAGAGTGGTAAA